TCTCATGACAGCCATGGCTTATGACCGGTATGCTGCCGTTTGCAACCCACTGCTCTATTCCTCAATCATGTCACCCACCCTCTGTGTTCGGATGGTGCTGGGGTCCTACATGGCTGGACTCACTGCTTCTTTATCACAGTTGTGTGCTTTGCTTCAGCTCCATTTCTGTGGTCCTAATGTCATCAGGCACTTCTTCTGTGACATGCCCCAGCTGCTAACTCTGTCCTGCACTGACACGTTCTTGGTCCAAGTCCTGACCGCTATACTAACAGTGATCTTTGGAATAGCAAATGCCCTGGTTATCATGGTCTCCTATGGCTATATTGTCACGTCCATCACGAAGATCACATCAGATACAGGCAGGTCCAAGGCGTTCAACACCTGTGCTTCTCACCTGACAGCTGTCTCCCTCTTCTACACTTCCAGTATCTTTGTCTATTTGAGTTCCAGCTCTGGTGGCTCCTCCAGCTTTGACAGATTTGCATCAGTTTTCTACACGATGGTGATCCCCATGTTGAATCCCCTGATTTACAGCCTGAGGAACAAGGAGATCAAAGATGCCTTGAAGAGGCTGCAGAGGAAGATCACAGTCTACCACTAAGGTCACAGACCAGGGATTTCTGACACATTGGACCTGTCAGACTCACCTTAACTCTCAGTGATGTGCACAGATGAAAGACTGCCACATTCATCCTGAGTCTGGAGAGAGGTGAGGTTTGATACAGTCGGTATGCCAGTATGGCCGGATAGCTGACACCAAAACACAGCGCCTTTTAGTCCTGGCCGTTTGCCGTTTGCAGGAAGAGCAGTGGCCTTGCCATTTCGTCCACAGGTATTTGTGAAACTGTAAACTTTAGAAACTTACTTCCTTTTGTTTATGGGGTTGAAGATTGCTCAGTTTTAAAGCCTCTTCTTTTAGAAGACAATGGCTGAGGCTCAGGACACAAAAGTCTTGTCTGTCACGTGATCTGAGGCAGTATAGAAAGACACAGTGGTGACGTTGGTCATGGTGACCTCTGAACGGTGGGAATGAGTGTAAAGAAGTCTTACAGTTTTAAATACAGAAAGCTATGAAAGGTTCTGGTCATGTCTTCTGGAAAGACCAAAATGAGACAGATAAGTTTTGTCTAGGGAAAATCAGTAATAATTACCTAATAAGTCTTGGGTCATATGCTCATCTCCACCAGCTATTGCTTGAGAATAGGAGGTGATTTAAATAGTGAAGATGGGTGGAAAGAAGTTCTAAGAAGATATGGTTTCTTCAGAAAACGTAGGAAGCTGATGATTTGACTTCTTGCATCCGCAGTCTTATGGGGATTTATGATGTGATTGGGCATTTGAAGTCCAAGTGATGGCCAAAAGCAATTAAAGTGATCCCTCATTAATGTAGCTAATGAATTATGTTATCAGATTATTTCTGATGTTTCAGACATGTGTTCAAGTTTGTTGTCAGAAGACCTGTGTGAATTTGTTCTAATAATTGTGAATATTTATTCAGTGTTGCAGGTACTAATAACAGATATGGAAAACTGGTACACATTCTTTTTTATTACCTATGTATGTTCATCATTTTGTGTCCTACAGTATTTTGGTTGTATCAGAATAATATAATGGATGCAGTAAAGTACCTTAAACTTTAATCCTTATATTTTTCAGAAGCTGAAGAACTCAAAGAGGAAATAAACAGTGGTACAGATGAAATACTCATTTCTGGCTGTATGTGTCTATCTCAAGCAGGACATAAAGCATGTAATTCCAGCTCTGGTTAAAACAGGTCTAAGACACATAACGGTGACTACTGATTTGTCAAATGGCTTGTATTTGAACAAACTGATACAAACCAGAGGTC